CAGCGGCGCTGAGCCTCATTGTCACGAGCGGTCGGTTCCTCCGTCTTCTTCGGTGGGAGGACATGTCGGCAGCCCGGTTGCATCCCCACCGGCGCGTGGCCGTCATCCCGTTGCCAAGCCCGTCGAGGATAACGAGGTCATCGTTCTCGACCAGTCGCCCCTCCCGAAGACCTCTGTAGCGGCTCCTATCCCTCCACCTGATGCGTTCGCTTCGATGCGGGATATGCTGCAGGGCCTGGGAAAAACGGGTGGGAAAGGAGTGGTTGCGGGGGAGAAAAGTGGTGCCTCGAACGAACACGTCGCCTCGACCGGGAACAGAGCCCTTGGAAAGCGAGGTGCCCCTACCCCGTCCGGCGGCGGTGCGGGGAAAGGAGCGGGAGAGGCAACCGCTGGGTTGATGTCGAAGACTAAGGGGGCATCAGCTGCGCAGAGCGGTGCTGCTGGCCGAGCTGTCGAGCATGTGGGAAATTGGGCGTCGTCCTCAACCCCTCCAGTTGCTCCTGTCGTCCTTGCTCCGGCTCTAGGCAACGTTTGCCTTAGCGATCCGGGCTCCCCTTCGACGTCGAAGAAGAAGCCTGCTGCGACGAAGTCGTCGAAGCGCTCTGCACATGCGACAGAGAGCCTTGACGTCGAGGAGATGGCCAGCGTCCCTGGTCAGGCGCCTGTCGAGAAGACCACTATTGTCGTTGCTGCTCGACAGGAAAAGTCGAAGAAGGCCAAGGTGATGGGTTACACCCCACCTCCTCCCCCGGACGACCAAGGCAAGACGAGGGGCTGCAAAGCTCCCTTCAAAGGACAGGGTTTCGGGTTGCGGAAGGGGAAGCCGGTTTCCGAGCAGACCGTCGGCGGGAGGAAGCGGTTCTTGGGACACTTTGAAATGGAGAATGACCAGAAGTTTTGTACGGCCATCTGCTGGCGCGTGTACTTCCCCGACATTGTCCTTACCGAGTACGAAGCATTTACGGCGCAGGACGAGCAGGAGTGGAAGGTCTATCTCGATGCGGCTGCGAAAATGCCAACCGGCGTTTGGAGCGTGGCTCAAGAACAAGGGGAATGTCGTTTCGACGAGTGAGTTTTGTCGAATTCCTGTTCTTTGACATTTGTGTCGAAGTTCTGTTGTTGGTGTGTTTTGTAGAACACATGCTGTTTGGCGGTGAATTCTCTATCGGTCGGATTCTGGCCTCCTGGCTTACGCGTTTGTTGCGATGTGCAGTTTCCAGTCGCTGTTGGCGACGGCAAATAAGGAAGTTCGAGCTGGAACCGACTGGGGAATCGCGCTGTGCGCGGCGATTGGTAAGGTCGCGACGCTGGGCCTGAAGCACGGGAACCTGATTTATCCGGTTCCTAAGGGCATGGCGGCGACACCTAAGACTTCAACTGCACCGAAACATCGCCTTTCTCACGTCGTTATAATGGGCAGGACGGCAATGTCGGCGTCGAACACCGACTCAAAACAAGTGAGGTCGGCATCCTTGATCGCCTCGCGAAGCCGGCTGCACCCTATAATCCACGGCTTCAATTCCGGCGGTGCTTCGCGAAGCCACATGTACCTTCAATTGACCGACGGGCGGTGGGAACGTGTGGGCATCGGCTGAGTATTACAAACTCGAGGCCGGCGAAAGTGACAAAGCAAACACGATAGCGGCCTTGCACGCCGACGTGGACGCGCTCACGACGTACCTCGGCGTGATACCTGTTCATGGTCGGTGCAAGAACTAGACAGTTATACCGGCGGCAAACTGTGGGTATAGATCAAGACACCGGCGGCCTCGACCTACCGCTCGGTGTTCCAACTAGGCGGCGACGCCGACCCAGTGAAAGGCCGCACATCGTTCGGGACCAACGTCTCTTACACTCCGACTGCCATCACTGTCGACAAATTGTCGGCGCCAAAATAGTCCGACTTCCGGGGACATAGACCTACAGCAAACCCTCTGGTATCGATCGCGGCCTCACACGCCGACCTCGACACCAAACGATACTAAACGATACTAATTGGTGTACATGGACCAATTGAACCAACAAAGCACATGGACGCCGCCTTCAGCTATTGGAACGAGAGACTCACTTGAGCGAAAGTGCGAAGCAAAGCTCGTTGAAGTCTTTCTTCGCGTCGCGCAGTACGGCGAAGTCCTTCTCGTGGAACGTGAAAGTGAGCCCGCGTCCCATGTTGAAATACAAGGGGAAGTCCTCCGCGGTCGGCGTCGGGTGAGCTCCTCCCGGCGTCGTGTGAGCGGCGCCATGATACATCTCCATGATCTAAGGCAGGACACTACAAGGTAGCAGCAGGACGGAGGAAGGCGCAGAGCTAAGGAATTAGAAAGCGAAATGGGAAGAGCAAAATGAGCCGACAGTGGCTCCGTCCACAAAGATAAGGCACGACGGACGCAGACCAGGGCGGTGCCCACAGCCGGGCCAAAGGCCGATGTGGCTCGGAAAGATGAAAGCCCCGTCCAAATGCAACCTCGTCCAATCGCACGCTCGTCGGTCGCCGAGCCAGCTCCGCTTCAGCACGCCCCCTCGCCTCGGTCGGCGTGGGGTCTGGTGGCATGCAGCGTCAGACGGCCCTGGCATGCAGGGTTGTCCCTGCGCAGACACGTGCCCTCACGCCATCGGGTCGCGAAATGGCCGAGGGTCCCGAGGGGAGCACCCAGATTTCGCCGGCCCCTCGCCTGCCCGTCGGGGCAGCGCGAGAGGGTTACTAGGTCGTCGCGGGCAGGGCCACGGCGAGGGCTGCCTTCGCCCTAGGGTAACTTTCCCTCGCACGAGGGCTCGCGAGTTCGCCGCCCCCACCCGGTAACGTGGGTTGCTGTTGGAATTCGGAGGGGGGTTGCGGGGCGGCGGTCGTGCGCTCGGCCCAGCCCTGGGCCAGGCTGGCGGGCCCGCACGCGCGCCAGTTCCCCGCCGCGGCGGTGCTGGGCCCATCGACCTCGCCAGTCGTCCCTGGCAAAGTGGCCCGTCGGACCCTTGTCGGATGAGCTATTCGGGATGGAACATCTCAGCGAAATTCGGTCGTCAGAGCCGATTTGCCTGGGTCGTCGAGAGGGGTCGTCGGAGCCGGGCGTGACGAGGCGGGCGACTGACGCGCGTGCGGGCCCGCCAGCCTGGCCCAGGGCTGGGCCTCACGCACGACCGCCGCCCCGCAGCCCCGCTCCGAAAGTGAACAGCGACCCACGTTACCGAGTGGGGTCGACGAACTGGCGACCCCTCGCGCGAGGGAAAGTAACCCTCGCGCGAATGCAGCCCACCCATGCCACCTGCCCGCGAGGTCCTAGTAACCCATCGCGGCCTGCCCGGACGGGCAGGCGAGGGCCTGGCGAAAATTCGGGGCCCCCCTCGGGACACTCGACACTTTCGCGACCCGCTGCGGTGCCGCCACGTGTTCGCCAGTGGGCTCGCATCGTGCGCATGCGAAATTTCGACCGATGCGAAATTGAAACCACTCGCACCGCATGCGCAATATCATCGCGAGCCGCTACGAATTCGACACGTGTCGACCGAAGCGACGCTCCGCGCGCATGCGAATTTGCGTCCCCTCACCGACCTGTGCCAATGGACGCAAAGTCGACGCTCTGCCAAGGCGGAGACGGACCACCCGTGCCACTTGCACGTGCGCCCTCCGAGCCCTGCCGAGCCAGGCCCCACACCCTTGGTCGATGCTGAACGGGCCTGCGGTGGGGCACCACCTCCTTTTCTTTGTGGAAGGTGGCTTCGCTCCTCATTTTCCGCATCTCGTTTTGATCTTCGGACGTCGCTAGCTCTGTGCCCCTCCCCAAAACCGTGCTATCGTTCCTTAGCCGTCCGCGTCTTCCCTTAGTCGATATGGAGCCGAGCCCCGACGCCGATAAGTCGGCGCCGACTTCGGCTGACTTTCCTCTTCGTCACCGAATGGGTCGCGGTCACAACTTCACTTTCGAGTGGAACGACTTCGCCGTCCTTCGCGACCACAAGAAAGAGTTCAACGAGAGATGCTTGGGATTCGGCATCAGGTGGGACTCGTGTGGTCGCGGTGGGCGAATAGGGTAGATGTCGGCGCCGACTAACACTAGATGGGCGCATAGGGTAGATGTTGTCGCCGGTTGTCATCGGACTGACGTCGGCGTACACGGTATTAGGCATAGACCCCGTCCAGGGACGTCGGTCGGCCTAGCAAGCGTCGACCACGTACAGTCGGCGTTTGACGTTCGGTAGACGTCGACCTGGAAGCGTTTGCTCACCCGCCCTTATATCATCCCTCATGCCCAATCGTGCGATCAGGTACGCTTGGTTTCGCATTGGGCTGAACGACCAGCGGTTGTGGGTAATCGGAGTTGGCCCTCTTCAATCTGCCATGAAAGCCGCCGACCATTCTTGCTTTGCTACGGTTTTCGACGCCGACATGGCCGCTATCCCGTTAAGAACGACATGAGTTGTTTCCCCGTTGTCCAGTTGTCGTTTTGTTTGGTCGGTCGCATCATCGCCTAATGTTGTGATCGACGCCGTCGTGTGTTGCATGTGCAGAGGCGGTCCGCTTCCAGGGTCACACTGCAGCGTCATAGCCATCCTCTACCCAGGAGATCTGCTGAAGGCTGAGGGACAGGTCTGCAGGACCTCGATCCGGCACATCGACCCACAGACCGGTAAACTGGTCCACCGCGTCTAGGCCGTCCGCGTCCTGAAGTAAGTTGTGAATAGTCGTCGATGTCCCGCTTGTTAGTCGCCGACACAGGGTATCACATGCTGACTGCCTCCTTTTACCACGATGCTCTAGGTTATTCCGCACGGCTGTCCTGGCCGAGCTGGGGCGTCCCGGTAGGAAGTGGGACGGGGCGCCGCCATCACAAGCAGTGGTGGAGGACAGGCTTGCCGACTGCGCCCACCCTCTCCGCGATGTGAGTTGCACGTTTAATCATTAAGGGGGGTGCACGTTTCTGTATGCTCCGCTTATAATATTCTGCGCTTGCCGGTGTTGCATTTAGAAAGTGCCGGGCACAGTGTCGGACGGGCATGTCGGCACCGGCATGCTTGCCGCGACGTCGTTCGGGTGGGTGGCGAAGCAGATTGACATGCTGACGGGCGAGAAGGGGCGTAGTGGGGTGAGCATCGAGAACATCAAGACAAAGGGGCTGAGGGCTTTGCGAGACAACATGGTGGAGTACATCTGCAAGCGCATCGCCGAAAACTGCTCTGCGGCGCCAACTTCACAAGCCGTCGGCCCCGCTGACAGTGCGATTGATAACGACGGCGCGGAAAGACAGACGGCGCCCCAAGCAGCAGTTGCCGCCTAGCATCAGGGGAGCGCGAGGGTGTCTGCGGAAGGAGGAAACGGTGGAGGAGGAGGCGACGCTGCGGCAGGTGCAGAACGGAAGGAAGAGGAGTCGGGGTCGTCGGAGTCGGGGTCGGGGTCCGAGTCGGAGTCGGAGGAGGAGGACGAGGCGGTGAAGCAGGACGAGGAGGACGAGGAGGAGGAGGACGGGAAGGATGAGGAGGGGGTGGAGGAAGAGGTGGAGTACGAGGTGGAGTACGTAGACGGTACGGTTGAGGTGGGAGCGGCGGAAGTGGCGGTAGGGTCGGCGGATGAAAGGAACGAGGAAGCGGAGGATGGCGATGCGGGTAATGCTACGAGGTCGGCAGATGGGGGGAAGGAGAAGGATGAGTTCGGCGTGGAGGCAATGATGGAAAAGGGCCAGGAGGAGGCGGCATGCGAGGGAAGTGGGAAGGTGCCGGTCGACGCCGGCGAAGGGGCGAACATCACGGGCGTGCAGGAGACGGGGGAAGCATCTGGTCGGCAGGGTCCTGAACTGGACGACGTCGAGGAGCTTCGACGGGAGAACTGGTTGTTGAGGGTGGAGAACGCTCGGCTGGCGACGTTGCTCGATGAGGAGAAGGCTCGGCTGGACAGTTTCTTTGTGGGGTACGTGGACTCGTCGACAAGATGAACGAGTTGGCCGACCAGGTCGCCGAGTCGGACCAGAGTGCGGCGGAACGACTGCGGAACGCGACGTCGGCCATGTCGACGACCATCACGGGCAACATCACCGGCAGCTTCGACGAAGCGTGGAAGTCGATGAAGTCCTTCGCGGAACTGGCGTCGGCGTAGTTGTTGGACTTCAACAATCCGGAGGGAAATGTGGCATATGCACGCGCCGAGGCGGTCTCCACCTTGGCCGAACACGTCGATACGGGGGTGGGCGATGCGAAGAGGGGTTTGGAGGAGTACATCTCGAACCACCTAGCCTCCGCGTAGGTCAAAATCGCCACCGCTATGACTCACAGGCTCGCCGTGCAGCCGCCGCCTCCGTCTCAGCCCACGCCGCCAGCAACAACGCCCGCCTTACCGGAGGAGCTCTTGAAGTCGTTCAAGGCAGACATCTTGAAGGCGGTGATGGAGGCCACCCAACAATCGTTCCTAGCTTCCGGGATGAAGATTATGACCGAGATGATCGGCACTGTGGCTCCTGGTCGACGTGGGTCTTCGCCGTCTGCCAATGACGCCGATCACGCGCAACGGAGGGAGGCCGACAAGCAGGGCCAAAATAGGACGGGCGGCGGTGACGATGCGGGGAGCGTGGAGCGGAGCAAGGGAGCGGAAGGGAGCCGCGGTCCAGGTGCGTCGCAGTCGGCCAATGTCGCCGATCAGGCGCAACGGAGGGAGGCCGACAAGCAGGGCCAGAAGAGGACGGGCGGCGGAGACGGTTCGGTGAGCATGAAGCGGAGCAAGGGAGCGGACGGGAGCCGCGGTCCAGGCGGCTCGAAGCCTGCTTCACAGAGCGTGGTCGACCAGCTGAAGACGAAGGCGGGGTGGAAGGTGATAAGGTCGTCACGCAGCAAGGGAGATGGGAGCGGGGGGACAGAGGGTGGCACTGCCGACGAGGTTGCCGCTAAAGTCGCGGCACCGGAAGGCCCGCCTTTGGTCCCCGAGCAGACCCATCCTCAGGCGAGCGATGGGAAAGGCGTGCGCGACAAGGAGATACCAACCGCTCAGACGGCGAAAGATGGCGGCGCCAGAACCGCCAAGGGACCGTCCGTCGCGGTGGCGGGGTCCACGGCGATTCCCCGATACCCCCCCTCGGCTACCACCGCGCCGGCCGGTCAGTCAGGCGCCAACAACGATGGGCCGGCCATTGCGGCCCCTCCAGCTCCAGCAGCCCCATCTGCCGCCAAGGGCGACGCGAAGGCTCCTGCGCCTAAGCGCGATGGTCCGTCAGCTGCTAAGGTGCCCGCCGGTGGTAACGCGCTCAGGGAGTTGCTCCACCGCATGGAGACACATCGCCGGGACGTGCAGCAGCCTCCAGTGGTCGACGCCGCCCTTGCCGAAACAGCACGTCGCTCCGTCACCAAGTAGGTTGCTGGCACATCGTCCGGTGCCCCACTTGCCACGCCTCAGGTCGCCGCCCGACCGCCTGCGGACCCAAAGTCCGCGTTTCTCCGCGCCCAGTTAGGCGCACGCAAAGCGGCAGCTCCACCAGTGACTCACCCGGAAACCGGTAAAAGCGCGACGCCGACGTCAGTAAACTCGACCGCACCCACACCCGGTGCAGCTGTGGTCGATGTGGCGGCGGAGAAGGGTGTGCGTGCAGCGCTAGCCACCGGCGGCCGAGCTGACAGGCACGCCGACATCGCTACCATCCAGGCCCATTTCGAGGCTGTAAAACGCCCCGAGCACGCCTCTGCTATGGCCATCATGGACACGGCGCATGTGGAGCCGTCGGCGACTCACGGAGGGGGCTCGGCGGAGCGGACGGTTGCAACGGATGCTGTCGCCGAGAGAAATGCGGGACGGAAGGGGAAGGACGACACTAGAAAGGGGAAGGCGGTCTCTCAGAGGAGCACGCGGGCGATGTCGGCGGGGAAGGAGATTTCGGATGAGAAAGGGAAGAAGGCAGGCAAGGGTAAGTCGGCAAAGACGAAGGAGGAGGAGGAGGACGAGGCGGTCGGCGAGGGAAAGAAGGAGCATGGACGCAGGGGTCATGGCATCCGTCACGACAAATCGGGCGACGGGCTAGGTTGGGTGGGCGAGATTAAGGTAAACGGCGAGAATCGATACATCGGCAAGTCGAGAGACAAGATGGAGCTGGCCTACGAGCACTCGATTGTGTACGTCGTCTACGACGGCTATGTGAGCAAGGTGCTCATGGACGAGCTCACAGTCTTGAAGCCGGGGGAGTTGGAGGAATGGAAGGGGGTGTGGGAGGAGGTCAAGTTCTTGCCGACTAGGATGTGGACGGTGATGTGGGCCAGAGGCTTGTGCCATCCGAGAGCAAGGTAAGACGGATACCGAACTGCCGAGTGCTGTCGACTAAAGTCGGTGTCGTTACGCTGATGTTGATGAAGTCGGTGTCGTTTTAATGTGTTTGTGCGGCAGGTTCGACGATATACTCGGCAGGTACCGTGGGTACACGGGTTCGGGTGATGCGCTTCACGACGTGCTCTTGCCGGCGATCTGGTTCCCCGTCGTCGAGAACACGAAGGAAGGCAAGGAGGAGACGGAAGCTTTCATGTCGGCGATGGTAAATCGCGTGTCGATGTGCGTGGCGTATGGGAAGGTCGCGGCGAGCGCGGCGTTTGGGAAGGTCGAAGCGAGCGCGGAGGGGAAGGCGGAAGAGAGGACGGAGATGGTAGGCGCGGACGGGGAGGCGGATGAGAAGACGAAGTTGGCGGCCCAGGCGTTAGCGGCATCCGCCTGCGCCCTCTGGTGCTTCGTGGAGACGGGGGCGTCGGTGCTCGGTGCTGTGGGCGAAGGGAAGGCGGCGGCGATGGTTGCAGGTGCGGGGGAGAAGAGGGCCGAGGGCTTCAAGAAGGTGATGCACACGGTGATCGACCTAGCACGCAATAGGGAGGCACCCGTAGGGGAGGTTGCACACAACGTCGCACCGGCGCTGCAGCGTCAGGCTGTGGACAGTGCCTTCACGGAAGGGGTTGTAGGAGTCGAGGCCGACATAATCGCTAGAGCGACGGTCGAGACCTTGGCGTTCTAGGGAATGTGCCCCGTCGCTGGGCCCAAACTCAAAGAGCACGGCATCGATGTGCCGTGTGACGCGCAGATGGAGTACGATATGGAGCACAGGGGGAGAAGGTCAAGCAGGGCAAGGGCAGCAAGAGGAAGAAGAGGCAGACGGGCAAGCAGGGCAAGGACAGTACAGATGCGTAGTCGGCGGGCGGAGGTGTGCAGGGTGCTAGGGTGTATAACATGTTGGTATGGCCGGCGCCGATTTCGTTGTAATTCTGATGAATGTTTTCTTCGTAGCGCACGAATCTTTTTTGTATCAGGTTGCTTCGCTTTTGATGATATAAATCACTGTCCTCATAGAAACATGGTAATCGACTTTGAACGCTGAGCCTTGTCGGTGCTTGTGTCGACATCATATGAGCATGCTACTCGGCGAGGAACGATGATATATATATGCCGAAACATTAAACTTGGCGACGAGAACTGTCGGCATCATAGAAACATGCTACCCGGCGATGAGCTCTGGCGGCGAATATGTCGACATCATGGAAACATGCTACTCGGCGATGAACGATTTGTCATAGAAGCCGTCGACATCGACTTGTTTTTTATGTCTGCAAGGATAGTATTTTGGTTTCTTACTGAGCGACCGACAATATTCACCGTAGCGGGATCAAAGTAGGTTCACAAGGACCTTGCTGTGGGTTGTTTACAAACTACCGGAACAGAATCAAACTACACAGATACAAGATAGGGGGGTAGGGGGGGGGGGGGGGTAAGTCTGCCACAATTAACAGCATCAAACTACGCAGACGCATATCCTACAAGGGTCTTCATGCCGACTTCTTGTGCTTGGTCGGAGGACGGTGCATCGGTGCGGTCGGCTTGGCCGGTGCAGTCGACTTGGCCGGTGCGGTCGGCTTCGCCAGGTCGGCCATCGTCTTCGGCATCTGCTCCTCCTAGGTGTCTGGAAACAGGGCAGCGACCCTATCACTCGGCTTCAGGTTGAGCGCCACAAGCGCACAGGCGAGGCGAAGCTTCGAGACCACCTTGGGGCCCAGCCCCTTGACTCCCATGCCAGGCTCCGTGGACAATGTCGGTGCCATTCCCGGTTTGAGCACCGTGAGGGCATCGCAGAAGGTCCCGATGCCTTGTTTTGCGATCCTGTGCAGTGCATCGACCACGGCCTCGGTGTCGGCATCGCCGTCGCTCGCGCATAGCTAGCGCACCACATCCATGACCTTCAGCATTCGGTGCACCCTCATGTTGAGTGCACCCTGCGTCGCGCCTTTGAGGAGGGTGTGGCGGTCGACGAAGCCCGGCTCGGTGACCCTGTCGCAAAGACGACAGGTGTCGTTGGCGGTGGCGGAGTTCCATGTCAAGAAGAACGGACTGGAATGGTGAACTAGAAAGGATTGTGAGTACAAATATGAAACCCTAATGTTGTGACCCCCCTATAGGCTAACCCACTACAGCCTACACAAACACAACATATATAATGTTTGACACACCCCCATAGGCAAAGTGGGGGAGACCTAGGGGTCACAAGACCAGTCAAGGCAAAGCAAGGCAACAACAAGCTCAGGGTGGATCTCAAGGATACCACACAAATTCCGAGCACAAGCTAGTGGTCACAAGACCAGTTCACATGCAGGTTTATAACAGAGCATGAGATACAGTGATCACAACCTAGCAAGAGTAAACATGCAGGTAGATATATATATAGTGATCACAGTACAAGCAAGGTCAAGAGGTAAGTAAGTGAGGTCCAGTAGGCACAAGGCCTAGCAGAGTGCAGAAGCGCTGATGGTCACAAGGCGGAAGCGCCTTGGTGAACACATCAGCAAGGTTGGCCTCAGTGGCCACGTAATGCAGACGAAGCTGACCACGCTGCTGCAGCTCTCGAGCAAGGAAGTACCGCAGGGCGATGTGCTTCGTTCTGTGCTCCAGTCTGTGCTCCTCACACAAGGCAATGGCAGCCTGGTTGTCGACGTACAGCACTGGAGGAGAACGAGGCCGCTCACCCAAGTCGGTCAGCAGGTAGGTCAGCCAGCGTAGCTCCTGGGCAGCCATGGCTGTGGCGTAGATCTCAGCCTCACAACTGGAGCTGAGAACAGAAGAAGAGCGTGTAGAACGCCAAGAAACTGAGCCGGAGCCAAGGCTGAAGGTGTAACCCTGAGACGACCGCTGAGTAGCCTGGTCGTCCGCCCAAGAAGCGTCTGAGTGTCCAGTAAGTACAACTCGGTCTCGCCCTCCAAGCACTAGCCCCATGCCCGACGTACTGCACAAGTAGCGCAACACCCTCTTAGCGGCATCCATGTGCTCCTTCCTGTGACGGCCAGGAGCGACATAGCGTGCAAGGATGCTAAGAGGGTATGCAAGGTCAGGTCGAGTGCAGGTCATCAGGTACATGAGGCAGCCCACAAGTTCTGGATACGGGCCACTCGGCTCTACGGACTCATCTGAAGGCAGAGCTGAGAGCGAGTGACTGGTAGGCAGAGGAGTGGACTGAGGCGAGGAGTACGTGAAGCGGAAGCGCTGAAGGATCTGCTGCACCATGTGTGACTGAGTCAAGGTGATGGTGCGCCGTGCTCTGTCCCGGGTGATCCGCAAGCCAAGATAGCTTGTCAGTTTACCCAGGTCTGTGCACGTGTGTCTCCTCTGCAGCTCCGACTTCACGTGGGCGAGTGCCGCGGTGTCAGCAGTGGCAAAGACCAAGTCGTCGACGTACACGAGGATGTAGAACGGCGGCAGTGAGGTGTCTGTGCGTAGAAACAGTGACGGGTCAGCAGTAGAGGGAGCGAACCCAAGAGCCGCAAGTGTCGTCCTCAGTGTGTCGTGCCACTCACGCGGTGCCTGGCGGAGACCGTAGACCGGCCGCTGAAGCCTCCACTGGGTACCAGGAGGAACCGACCCAGTGAAACCAGGAGGGCGGCGCAGCCAGATCTCCTCGTGCAGGCTGCCCTGCAAGAAAGCAGTGCTGAAGTCAAGTGAGTGAAGCTCGTAGTCGCGCTGAGCGGCTATGTGCAGCAGCACCCGAAGAGTGGTCATCTTCGGGGTGGGGGAGAAGGTCTGAAAGAAGTCAACTCCCTCTCGCTGACTGAAGCCTCGAGCCACGTAGCGCGCCTTGAAGACAGGAGGAGAACCCGGTGGCCGCTTCACCCTGAAAATCCACATGCCACTGACGATGTTCGCCCCAGGTGGGGGAACCTCGTCGACGTAGGTGCGTGTGGACTTCCAGGAAGCCATCTCTGCGTCCATAGCTGTCTGCCACTGAGAGGAGTAGGGACCCGCCATCGCCTCAGCGTAAGTGCGCGGGGTCGGGATGTCTGGTGCATCCGGGTCTCCCTCAGGGGCAACTAGCATGGACACGAGGTGGGGCAAAGCAGCAGCAAAGCACTGGAACTCCTCCTGTCTGTCCTCAAGGACGTCCGTGCCAAGAGCACACTCACCCCCGACGGACGGAGGATAGACAGACTCAGACTCAGACTCAGCAACGAGGCTAGTGGCGTAGTCTAGACGACAGGCAGCAGCAAAGTCAACTAACTCAGCGACCAGAGAAGACGCAGCGGTGGACTCAAAGGTAGGGTCAGTAACAACAGTAGCGAGGAGACGGGTGACAGTGGGACTGGCAGCACGACGGGAGTCAGACTCCGGATCAGGAAGAGTAGGCAGAGAGGACGTAGGAGGAGACGGCAGCGGAACACGCTGAGGAGCAGTGGAGGGACGCAGAGTCATGTAGTGAGTGCCTGGGACAGGAGGAGGACGCTCACGTGGGACACGACGACCAGTGCGAGCAGTACGAACAGGCGACGCAGGACGAGACTCAGGCTCACGACGCTCTGTGAGACCTCCTGTGGGACCAGTGTAAGGAGAGGGAGCAGGGAGAGGCGAGGTAGGCGGGAACTGTGACTGCGACTGGACAGGCGGAGGACACTCTACGGAGGGAGGAGGACAAGGAGGAGGAGCCTGACCAAGAACCTGCTGAAGAAGTGGTACGAAGTACGGTCGCGGCCTCGTAGCGTCTCCAGAACCAGCAGAGACACCAGCGGCAGGGTCCTCAGCACCAGCAGCAGCTCCAACGTCCGGGTCTCCAGCACCAGCAGCAGCTCCACCGTCCGGGTCCGCAGCACCAGCAGCAACTCCACCAGCCGGGTCCTCAGCTCCAGCAGTAGCTCCAACGTCCGAGTCCTCAGCACCAGCAGCAGCTCCACCGCCCGGGTCCTCAGCACCAGCAGCAGCTCCAGCGCCCGGGTCCTCAGCACCAGCAGAAGCTCCAACGCCCGGGTCCTCAGCACCAGCAGCAGCGCCACCCCCAAGGTCCGCAGCACCCGGAGGACCACTCCGAAGACTGCAGCGGCGTGTGTACCACTCTCGGATCTGCTGAATGGGGGGGAGCTCCTGGGTAGGAGGGGAAGTACCGGGACGAGCTCCAGCAGCACCTCTCCGGAGGCGGCAGTACTCGAGGTACCTCTCCTGCAGCTGCTGGGAGGAGAGGGCTCCTCCAGGTGTAGCACGCTCAGTCTCAGCACCCCCAGACTCAGCACCCCCAGACTCCGCACCCCCAGGCTCAGCACCTCCAGGCTCCGCACCGCCAGGCTCCGCACCTCCAGGCTCAACACCCCCAGGCTCCGCACCTCCAGGCTCAACACCCCCAGGCTCCGCACCCCCAGACTCAGCACCCCCAGGCTCAGCACCCCCAGACGCAGGACGAGAGTCAACAGCTACCTCGACAGGCTCACCCGGGTCTACCTGGGACACACCTGAGGGAGCGGCACCCTGAGGGGGGAGGGGGTCTGGTACCTCAGCACCTGGAGCGAGGAAGAGAGGCGGGGGGGGGAGCGAGGCAGTGCGGTAGGGGAAGAGGCGGTAGTAGGGGACGGACTCGTCAAAAGTGACGTCCTGAGAGGCCAGGACACGACGCGAGGTGGCGTGGTAGAACTGCCAACCAGGGGCGTCCGGGACAAAGCCAAGGAAGACGCAGGGGACAGCGCGACGGGAGAGCTTGTCCGCGGACGTGTCGCGGAC